AAAAGTCCGTATTTTCTGCCTACCCCTCTGGGTTACAAATTATAGTGATATCGTGTCCTGGTTTTATTGATGTCTTACAGTATAGACTGAACATCGCCCGGATATCCTCTTAGTAATCAGAGTCAGACATATTATGTTGATACACATTTAACAGTAGTCTTGTGATACACAAGTGTCATGAGTCATGACGCACAAGCTCGTGTATAACTTGATAACCTATTGTGCCGCATATACTCCAAACAGGCGATAATGCAAACGGCCTAACAATTAATTGCGCTCAAGTTTTTTTTTTATAAAATAGTGATAACAAACGAGCACATAGTCCATCTGATGGTAATAGTATGCTGTTGCCCATCGACATCTACACATCCTCGATTAAGAATCAAAATGCAGATGCATTGTCATCCCTGATGACTAAAATGGAATGCCTCGTTTCCAAAGAGTCTAGGGTTCTCTCCACTAACAATACGAAACACAGCAACATGAAGCAGCTATTTTACACTGGTATTCTGTGAAAGCGTGGTCCCCTACCTCGGTCAAGCCGACCCATTCTTTCTACAACCATAATATAGCTGCAGCGTTGCTATATCGCGTTTTTTTAATATGCCCCGTATTTGTTACGGGTAAGTAGTGGTTAATTTTGCGTTAAATTATTTTAAAAGCCACGATTTAAACTACGCTTACGCAAGTACTATTGTTCAATAAACTATTTATTACATTAAATTACCTATTTATAATTTATTTTATTTATTACTTACATATTTTTAATAGCTGTATTTCGATTTAAAAAAAAAGTTTTATCATGTGGCAGAGCTTGGCTGCAGCAAGATTCTGCATTGATTATGCATGCGCGAAGACATAGTGTAGGACACAATTTTTGTTTGGAATGGCTTCTCTAGTACGTAGTCCATTTTTTTTTCTAAACCCAGAATTCTCTTAGAAAAAAATATTTATTTTGACCCTGCAAAATAGCCTCAACAGCGTCCATCACTTCGCTATCGTCTGCAAATTTATTGCCTCGAAGGTGTTCCTAGAGCCGAAGAAATAGATAGAAGGCATTGGGAGCTAGATCTGGTGAATAGGGCGGGTGTTCGAACAGTTCAAATACCGTTTCTTGAATGGCAGCCATCGCAACTGCGGCTTTGTGAGCCGGAGCGTTGTCTTGGTGAAACATCACTCCAGCCCGCAGTTTGCCGCGTCTTTTTTCTTTAATAGCCTCCCGTAATCTTCTTATTTGGTCTGCGTATTGCAAAAAAGATTAGAAGTCTCACCAATTTTGAGACAGCTAGGTTAGTTTATTTTAGTTATTTTCATAGCAGTCTTATGGAATTTTGCTATGGGGTAATGCGAGTGATATTCAAGCCATATTTGTTTTGCAAAAGAGAGCCGTACGAGCGATTTATAACTTAAATTGTAAAGAATCCCTTAGAGAAAAAAAAATAAAGAAATAAATTACATATTAATTTTGGTATCGCAATGTATTTATGAAAATGTAATGTCTGTACATAAAAACTTAACTATCTTTGATAAGAATAAAGAATGTATACGCTTTTCCAACAAAATCCCAAAAAATGTACACAATTTGTCGATAAACAAGTTTAAATGTTTTAATAATGAAAAATTGTACAAAAAGGTTTATTATAATATCAAAGAATACATAAATGAAGAAAAACCCCTGGGAATGAGGCGATCAAACAAAATTATTGTAAAGTGAAATATGTCTAAAAAAGGTCCCGCTGGGCTGCTTACTGGTTCTTCCCAGGACATAGGTATTTTCCGACCCAATGGTAAATAAAAAATGACTTTCAATAAGTATTATGTAATAATATTGAATAAAAGTCACTCTATTGTAATGTTTTACTTACATTTCACTACATTCTCTCTCGTCCTTTGTGTTCTTATCGCACCAGGGAACGTCTAAATATTGTTGTTCTTTTTTTTAAGTTTAAGTAATCACGGCTTCATATTTGTTAGCCAAGGGTCGGAGTGGCTAATTGAATACTTTCAGACGATTCAGTTTTGGCGTCCTAGTAATGTATCTTTATACGAGAGCGGCACTGAAAATTTCGGGAATCAAGGAAGTGACACAACGTTACTATTTAAAAATGTATTTATTGCTTTTCGAAATATTCTCCGCGAAATTTGACACATTTTTCCATACGATGGAACCAATCATTGAAGCAACCATTCCATTCGGATGTTGGGGTCTCCAAAATGGCCGTTTTGTAGGCGTCCACAGCTTCTTCAGGCGATGAAAATCTCTGTCCACGCAATTTATTCTTTATTTTAGGGAACGTATAGAAATCATTAGGGCTTAGGTCGGAGCTGTACGGCGGATAGTCTAATAATTCTATGTTTTCTTGCTCTAAAAACTCTTTTGTTCTGTGTGCGGTGTGACTCCATCAGGATGATGCGGCGGTTGCAGTTCTCTTTACGGAGTTCAGAAACGACCTGTGGCAAACAAATGCTAGCATACCATTCTACATTAACCGTTCTTTGTCCCTCAAGAGGAATAGTCGTAACATGGCCGGTTTTGGAGACAAACGTGGCCACCATTTTTTTTGCAACACCGTGAACGAACAATTTTTGTTGGCTTTAACTCATTTTCGAACACCCAAACTCGTGACTGGTTTTTTGTTTCGGGTTCGTGCGCGTATATTCAGGATTCGTCACCTGATACGATGTTGTATACAGCATTTGAGGATCCTGTGTGGAATCTTTCGAGAGTTCTGACGCACCAAGTAACGCGAGCCGCTTTTTGCTCTTCACAGAGCGAATGCGGTATCCATCGGGAAAACAACTTTTTTACACCTAATTGTTCATGCAAGATTATTTGTATTTGACTCATGCCAATGTCTAAAGTTTCCTGAATTTCGCGGTATGTCACATATCGATCTTCCTCAATCAGCTTACGCACAGCATCAACGTTTTCTTGGGTGACTGCAGTTTCTGGACGACCTTGACGAGGATCATCACTGAGCTTGACACGTCCACGTTGAAATTCAGCAAACCAGCGATAAATTGTGGTTTTGGATGGGGCTTCATCACCAAACGCAGAAATCATCCGGTCAACACACTGTTTTTGTGTTAAAGCGCTTATTACATTATCCAATTTTTAGAAAATCTAATTAGGAACCTAAGTTGGAAGCTAGTGATCACATTACACTAAATTGAATTCTAAATCGTGACGAAGCACATTCGTAAAAGAAGTATCGACGGGGTTGCACGCTTGATCGATGGCGCCGTATTTATCAAAACAGCAGAAAATAGGACTTGCTTTAGCCGTGGTGGGAACAATGGATATTAAAAAAAGAAAAAAGAGAATATGCTGGGTTAAGGAATACTTGTCACTGTATTTGTAAATATTTAACAACACCTTGAAGCCCTCTTCACGCATTGCTTTTTTTAAATAGTTTTCATCATTTTTATTATACAAATAGGGCATTTACCCTATACAGGTCTATAATTTGTAATAACACCTCTTTTTCTGTGGACATGCTGCCACACGAACCACTGCTCAATTCTGTCGCTTCACTCGCCATCGCAAACAAATGTCGCACGCGCAGTCAAGACATCCACTTAGGTCGAAGCGCGGGCGCCGACTGGTCCTTCTAAATCGTAACGTTGTAGAGCGGTCGGGACCTCCAACTTTAACTAAATCGGATCCTAACTGTTCTAACTATGATTACACTTTCCAACTTCCTAATTAGATTTTCTAAAAATTGGATAATGTAATAAACGCTTAAACCACTTCGAAAGTCATAATAAATCATCGCTCTTGAATTTTCTCGAGTCAATTCCATTTTCTCAACGACTAAACAAGTTTGACAAAACCTTGTGACAAGACCGAGAATCTTTTTTTAAATAAATAAATGATATTCAATTTTAAAAAACCAAGTACTTTTCAATTAAAAAGATTTTAATATGACAGGAACAGTGGAAATATTCCATTCCCGATACTTTTAGTGCAGCCTATGTATATAAAAACCTTTTTATCTTTATATATAAAAATTACGTGTCACGTTGTTTGTCCGCGATGAACTCCTAAACTACTGAACTTTTGAAAATTTTGCACACCGTATGTAGTTTGGTCCAACTTGAGAGATAGGATAGTTTTTATCCCGATAAGTGACCCTCAATTTTTTATTGCTAATCTCAGGAGTTTTTTTTTAGGAAAGCAAATGGTCGTCGGAAAGGGCAGAACAACGTCTGCCTGGTCAGCTAGTAAATTTATAAATATCTAACTATCTGGTGGTTTTTAGTCGACTTCAAAAAAAAAAAAGCAGGCGGTTTTCAACTCGATGTTATTTTTTTTTTTAAATTGGGAATGAAGTTAGTAATGTAACAATTGAGAGATTGAAAGACGACTGTTGAGATTGTCATATTATTATTCCTTAGTTTACTCATGAACTTTTAATGAAAAAAGATGTCTTGGCACCGACTGCAGAATGTGAAATTATTTTATTCTTTGTAGTTCTTTTAAATCAGATTTTAATTTTACTATCGTACCTGGTGGTAAGTGGTGATGCAGCCGGAGATGGTGATGCACACTGACTTAACAAAAGTTTATTCACTCTTGCCTTAAAGACAACCCGCATTGTAATCGGATGAAAAGACAGATGCTGGCAACTTTTTTCACTCCTTTTTTTTATAGGATAAGGGTGACAAATGAGCACTCAGTCCACCTGATGGTAAGTGGTTGCTGTGGCCCATGGACATCTACAACTATGTTCGATTACGAATCAAAATGCAGATGCGTTGTCACCCGTGAGGACTAAGATGGAATGCCTCGTTTCTATTCCATTTGCTGTACGTATGACGAACGATGAAGTATTGCATTGCATCGATAAAGCATACGATTTCGGTAGTAGGAGTTGTCGTTGCCACTTTTGGGATGTTGGGCTATCTATCGTAATTAACTTGTTTTCTTTCTATAAAACTATACATTTTGATTCTGGGCAGGTATTTTTATTGATATATTTTTGTTTTCTCGCTTTTAGCAAAGACCAACGACATCGTGGTAACATGGTCTACGTTCAACGATACGACCGAGAGTCGAGTGCAGTACGGCGAGGGTGTGATGGACAAGGAGGCTGTGGGCTACAGCACTCTTTTTACGGACGGCGGCCCACAACGTCGCAGCCAATGGATACATCGCGTGGTCCTGAAGGATCTAAAGTATGACACACATTATGGTGAGTTCGAATTTATCAAAGTGTATAGATCAGGAGTTTCACCATAACACCATAACTAGGGTAGCAATTAAGGCTGAGATTTCATGTATTCGTGCGCCGTACTTGGCATTGAGTTGCCGCGGATTCGAATCCCGCACTAAACAATTATTTGTATGGTCTACAAATAATGCATATATATATTATAGTTTTTAATATTGTATATTAAAATATAAATACAAATAATTGTTCTTGTGAAATTTATGTACTGCCCCCACGATACAGGAGTAGTCCTAGTGTCAAGGTAACATAAAGAAACGAAAAATCTTAGTTGGTAAATGTCTTGTGGTTGGAACATAAAGGAATCCTCCATCCCATTTCTACTCGTAGGGTTCGTAAGAAAAAAAGAAGAACTACTTTATTTGATGCTACAAATTAGTATCTATTTGTATTACGTAGATGCAATGTCACCTACATTCTTCAAGGCAAGAGTGAACAGGCTTTTGTTGTATCAGTGCGCTTACCAGCAGAAGAGCTAAGTTTCGGTCTGGAGGACATTATTACACGTGGTAGAGCCATGCTGCAGCTATATAAGTAGTATAGTTGTAGCACGAATGGGTCGGCTCGACCGGGGAAGGACCACGCTCTCACAGAATACCAACGTAAAATGGCAGCTTGACACTGCTGTGTTTCGTTTGGTGAGTGTAGAGAATCGGAGACCCTTTTTATTGGCAAAGAGGCATTCCATCTTAGTCCTCACGGGTGACAACGTATCTGCATTTTGTATCTACGCAACCACTTACCATCAGGTGGACTGTGTGCTCGTTTGTCACCCTATCCTATAAAAAAAATTTAGGATCAACACATTCGTGTTCGTTTAAAACCCCTGTTAACACTACTCTCGTAATAAATTCCAGTATACCACGCCGGTTCGGAATACGGGTGGTCAGAGGAGTTCTCGTTTAAGACCGCTCCAGCTGGCCAGGATTGGGTGGTGCGGGCGGCCATCTTCGGTGATATGGGCAACAAAAATGCACATGTGAGTCTTTAATAATTTCTTCTGATTTTATTAGGTAGAGTTAAAGATGATCCCTTGATGATGATGTGACCCTACCCGAAACGGGACCTCAGGGGTTGCATGCTCGAGGCGGGGGCCCTGATAGCCTAGGAGGAGGTAGATGACTCGGAAGTGGTCCCTAAACATCGTGATAGCACTGGATAGCTGGGGAGAGCAAGGACTGCCCTCGAGACGTGTTTTAAAAAAGCAACGAGCGAAGTGAGAGAAGGACTCGATTGAGTTCCTATCGGAGATCCCGGGACCTCTTATATACGCTGATGGTGACCACCAATAGTTGTATAGCTAATATACATCTAATAGCTGCAGTATGGCATTACCACGTAAAATTAGTATTAAGATGTGAGTTCGCAAATTGTCGACAGTCTCTGTCGTACCTGCAAGACGAGGCGCAGCGTGGGCACTTCGACCTGATCCTGCACGTGGGTGACTTCGCGTACGACATGCACGACGACGACGCTCGCGTGGGAGACCAGTTCATGCGGCAGCTGCAGCCGCTGGCCGCCATGCTGCCCTACATGGCTTGTCCCGGGAACCATGAGGAGGCCTAGTGAGTCCCCATCTCCATTGCATTCTATAAATATATTCCCCCCTCATCAGCTTGTAAAATTGCTACAGCTTGTAAAGCTTATTACTTGGAGCTCTTATATTTCTCATTATAATTCCCGTCCTTAATTGTATATATCATACCCATTCTCAACTAACATCATTTTGAGTTTATATTTCTTTTTTCTTTTAGTTGTCTAATTTATGTACACCTTCCCTATTCGCTATTCGTTGTAAACAACAGTTCTTTGCCGAAAAAGGTTGTCTTGAAGAAATCGCTCCCAGAGCGATAAGCCCGCATATTGTACCTTCTATGTATACAATATGTAACAAAAACCCTGTGGTTCCCGTTAAGTACGTTATCAGAGTCGGTATTCAAACTTAAAGATATAACTTTTTTCAAAAAACTTGAACATTAAAAAAATTTAATAAAAAAAAAATAATTTGCAAATTGTATGTAGTTTTTTATTACCTCTAACTGACACGAGCATCGGTGAAGGAGGGTCTTTCTCAATCCTCTTTTTTTTTTCAGATAATGCAGAGGTAATAAAACCACATACAATTCGCAAATCATTTTTTTAATAATTTTTTTATGCTCAAGTTTTTTGAAAAAAGTTATTTCTTTACGTTTGAACACTGACTCTTATAACGCACTTAAAGGGAACCACAATGTTTTTGTTACATGTTGTAATACTATATAATTTTGTTTTTCTTTTAATGTGTACTGGTGTACAATATGGGGTATAATATGTTTGTAGTGTGTACCTGTGTGTATGTGTATCCGTCTGACTGTTTGTGGCGTTATAGCTCCTGAATGGATGAACTGAAATTTGAAATGTGTCTTAATCGAATATCTGTTCAGCCGTTTGAAGATCACCAGCTGTTTTTGTTGCGCGATTTTAATTTTTTTTTAAATTTAACTTACTAAATAAAACTGATGTGATAAACGAACTTAGAGCCGATCTGATGGTAAGTGGCTACCGCAGTCCATGGACACCTGTAGCCAACAACAAATAAAAAAAATGTCTCCCAGACCTCTATAATATATTAGCTCTCTTTAACTACTCTCTGACCAGAACACAGATGATGAACATTTGGAAATTTTCCGTCATCACTATGATATCACGGAATCATTATTTTACCAAGAATGATTTAATTGAGGTTATGCTCGGAGTTTTTCTGCTTAGTAACGGACATATTTTTTACTAAACTGCCCCAGACGGAGGGTAATGTTTTTTGAGTCTATGTATGTATGTATGAATGTATGTCTATTTATTTGGCATGCTCTGTAGCCTAAACGGCTTAATGGATTTTCTGCCGACTTCCAAAAAGGAGACGGTATTTAATTCGATTGTATGTTTTTTTATGTGTTCTTTTTTATATGATATTTTTTTTATAGTTTTCGTGTGGTCCCATATGAATTTGATCAAGGTCAGACCAATAGTTTTTGAGTTATTCTTAAATAACTTATATTGAAGTCGGCTGTACAAAATTTTTAATTTTAAATTATAACATATTAACTGTAGCTAGATTCGGTTTAATTGTGGGATTGACATGGATACCAATTTTTTCTCTTTTCAATAAACTTTATTACGCAGGTCGGGTTTTTAATTTACTGTTTTAACCTTTAAGATTGTTTGCGGGAATGCCAATGAATGAGTAAAATGAAATGGCAACTGGCCGGCCGTATAGTTCGAAGAACCGGCAACCGATGAGCAAAAAAGGTTCTCGAGTGGCAATCTCGTACCAGTAAACGAAGTGTAGGGCGTCCCCCACTAGATGGAGCGACGATCTGGTCAGAAATGCAGAAAGTCGATGGATGCTGGTGGTTCAGGACCGTGCTTTGTGGCATTCCTTAGAGGAGGCCTATGTTCAGCAGTAGACTTGTGAAGGGCTGCAACGATGATGATGAATGATCTCTGTATGTTTCAGCAATTTCAGCAACTACCGTGCTCGCTTCTCGATGCCAGGTCCCCACGAGAGCCTGTTCTACAGTTTCGACCTCGGCCCCATTCATTTCGTCTCCGTTTCCACTGAACTCTACTATTTCCTGCAGTATGGTCTCAAAGTGCTGGATAATCAGTACCGGTGGTTGGAGAAGGACCTCAGTGAGGCCAATAAGGAAGAGAATAGGTAAGTGGAGAAAAGTAAAGCGACTTATTAGTGACAAAGAATTGGAATTAGGCAGAAATATAGCTATATTATGTTTGTAGCTGGAGTGGGTCGGCTCGACCGAGGTAGGACCACGCTCTCGCAGCTTAATGCTGCTGTTTTTCGTATGGTGAGTGTAGAAAACGGGAGACACTTTTTACTGAATACGAGGCATTCCATCTTTACGTCCGAAGTATGGAGTGTAGAGTAAAAGGAGGACCATCTTTGTATATGAAAAGTGTCCTTAAAAACGCATCCAATAAGGGTGGCGCTGCAGTAGCATAGGATAAATTAAAAAAAGCGCCAAAGTTAATTAGAATAAGATGGAGAAATAAAGAAGGACCGACCAATCCGCTTGGTTTTGTACTACGTAAATAGTTGAGGTTTTGTATACTGGCATTTTACTAACTACTCTAGTCATGAAATTTTTAAATATTTGAATTCAGCTGACTTCACTCCGTTCACAACAGCTATCTTCATATCGTAGTTTTTCAGACGCCAGCGCTATTGTGGTAGGTTTTGGAACCTCTATTTTCAGTAAATAGTAGGACACGTTTTCAACTTTCGCCCCTTATAAGATGGTTCTCCTTGTACTCTACACTCCATAGTCTGATGTAAATGTGATGGTAACAACGCCATCTACCGGAAGCTGCGCGATCTTCCTGGAATTTGATATAGTCGCTTTTTACAACACCCATTGGATGAAATAGGGAGATGGATTACACGGATATATTGTATCTATTGCTGCAAATTACTATAAATATTTATTACAGCGTTGCATGAACCGCATTTTCTATTACATCTACTTACGCTTAAGAATGCTACCCAGAATTTGTTCACAATATGATTAATTAATGCAGTATTACTACTAACAATTATCGGTGTTAATTTGTGCTTTTGGACTCCGCCTTCCTTATTAGGAATTACAAGCATGACATAATAAATCACTATTACAATATAATATGTGCTTTAAAATTAGCTTCTAATGCGAAACTGGTAAGATTGATATTAACGTGGGTGTTGAGGCAAAATTGCTTGATTCTAATTCGAAAAAACTTGTTCATTAGCTTGCTTCCTTTTGTGGTAGAGTTGTAACATGATTGGGTTCGCTCGACTAGGGAAGGACAACGCTTTCACAGAATACCAGCGTAAAATAGCAGCTTAATGCGTCCACTTACCATAAGGTAGATACTGTCTGCTCGTTCGTCACCCATACTTCTTTAAAAAATATAATTCATAATTCATAATTATTTATTTGCTTAGAATGTAGGTAGATGTTACAAAAGTATTATTAAAGCATAAAGTTCCGATACATTCTGCCTTATCAAGGCGTGCAAATTTTAGGTGAATAGTTATAAGTTGCAATACATTTTCTTTACAATAATTATTGATCAATTTTAGTCTAATATAATTATGTCCTAATAGTACTAATAAAAAATGTCCAATTAATAATAAAATAAATGTCAAAAGAATAATTACGAAGTACAATATCACACAATCATTTACAAAAATGTCAAAATACAAATGTTAACATGTAAAAACAGTAAAATCAACCAACCAATAATTATTCTATCGAAGTCTTATTTTATTAACTCACAGCAAAAAATTCAAGCAATTTAGATACGGATATTAAATACGTAATTTGTTTTGATTTTTATGATCAAGATACTCATTAACGGTATAAAAACAGTTAAGTAAGGGCCATTCGTGAAGTTTGTTTTTTAACTTTGTCATTGGGAAATTTTTAAACTCGTCGGGTAAAGCATTAAAGATTTTATTCGCCATTATGTACGAATTTTTTTTATTATGATATTTATACTTTCTTTTCTTTCAAAAAATCTTCGTCTATATTTGTTTTATGGACAAGTTAAAGGAAAGTGAAGTTACCTACTCGTATACACAATATGTAAGAAAAACCCTGTGGTTCCCTTTAAGTACGTTATCAAGAACATTATTCAAACCTATAGAAATAACTTTTTTTAAAAACTCGTACAATATTTGTTTTATTTTATTTAAAAATAATAATTGTATGCAAATTGTATGTGGTTTTATTACCTCTGCATTGTCTGGGGAGTAAGAGGATTGTCAAAGACCCCGCTTTACTTAGCTTTAGCATCGGCTAGTCTCAGTAAGAGGTAATAAAACCATATAAAATTAAAAAAAATGTTTCAATAAAATTAAAAAAATATATGGTCGATTTAAAAAAAAAGTTATTTCTATAGGTTTGAATACGGATCCTGATGATCCTTAACGGGACCCACAGGGTTTTTGTTACATGTTGTATAGACGATGTTTTTAGTCATGTTAAAAAGGAAATTGAAATTTTCATTGTTTAAGGGTCTACACTGTTCTGTTAATAAAAATAAAACTGAAACTACAATTTCAACCGAAATATAATTTTATGTACATTTTTTAATTCATTAACAGGCGCATACGGCCTTGGATCGTACTATACGGTCACAGACCGATGTACTGTAGCAACCTGCGCGATGATTGCTGGAATAACTACTTACCCAATCGCGTGGGATTGCCTCTTTTGGGACTAGGTGAGTATACTCACTCACTCTTAATCATGAGGTAGGCGGAGTTCCAAAATTTTACAAAATAACACAGATTCACAGATACACAAATTACATTTTCTTTAAATCCCAGATTGACGGTTGTTTTTAATTTCTATACTAGGTTCTCATTGTATTTAAACTACCCTCGTTTTTGTCACGGCTAACATTACAGGGCAAAGCGGCCATGGATAATATTATACGGTCATAGGCCAATGTACTGCAGTAATTCTGACGATATCGACTGCAGTTTGGAATATACCAGGAAAGGGTTGCCGATTATGGGGGTTTACGGTGAGTCTACTGCCTTTACTAATTCTACATCGGATAATTTAGGGAAATTCAATGGTTCATAAAAAATTATATTCAACTAGCGATTCACCCCGATTTCGCGCGGGTGATTTCTGTCTAAACCATCCACAAACTCAAACATCCAAAAAAATTCATCAAAATCGGTCCAGCCGTTTAAGAGGAGTTGAGTACCAAACACTTACACAAGAATTACATATATTTATAAAGACACGGGAATTTTTCTTAATTACAATATTCGGGAAGATTTTGTTTTGTACATTGGCTTAGTTGTTTATATATTAGGAGATGGTAGGGTTCCTTTTCTGTTCAGGAATCCGTTTAGGTTGCTACTATCCTATTACTTCTAAAAATATATAAAGTACTGCGCCTACACCTTTGGTCGTGTAGGATTATCGTCCCATCGGACTATGAGGGTGAGGAAATAAAGTGTGTACCTGTGTTTGCGTATTCAGACGGGCACTATAAATCCTGTCCTGCACAAATGACTAGCCTCCGTTGGGACTGACCGCCGTGGCGAAATAAATGTGTGGAGGACATTATACTTCTACCTACTTTTTCAGTCTTTACAATTCGTAGCAGTAATATTGGACTGGTAATAAGATAAACACGCCAATATTGGTAATTAACGTTGTCAATTTGCATTCGGTCTAGTTGACATAATTAAGATCAATAAATATACCTTAATCTTTTGGCTCCCATAAAACAACCAAAAATATATCTATAAAACATTCCACTTCTGTTAAATTTTCACTTCTCAGTTATTGACATTCGTATTTAGTTTCGCTTTGAATACTTATTAAGTATTGATCCGGCTATAAGGGCCAATAGAAATTATTTATAGAAATAAGAAATATTCATAGAATCCTTCGTTTTGAGGGTAAACGTACATCCAGATACCACAGTTTTACTACTAATTACTGTCTTACTGTCACTATATTAGAACTTGATGTTAAAGACATAGTTGCCACACATGTTTTGGAACTCCGAGTACCTCATATTAAGGCACATACGATAGTTTAAGTTACTACTATACCTAATTAAACGCACAGTTATCGTGTTTACCACTCCATGCGGACTTGATAAATCTACACCATAAGCCACTAAAACCAAGTTTTTATGTAAAATAGCAATAAATCGATTTAAAAAAAAATATTAATAAATTCAACAATCATTTATCTTTCTGAGAATGTGCTTTTTGTATAATTTATAGGTTCAATATGATTGTTAGATACGATTTTATGCGACAAATCGTTGGTATCTTCATTTTTAGGCGTTAGTAGAGCATACATAACATACAGCCTTATACGGCGCACAAATTTTGTACGCCGTATAAGGCTAAAACTTGCTAACAACATTTAAGTACGAGTATGTTCTGTATATTGATGTTTTTAAAAATAAATAGTCTTTTTTTATAGAATAGGGTGACAAACGAGCACACAATTCACCTGATGGTAAGTGGTTGCTGTGGCCCATAGTCATCTACATTTATTCTCAACTATAAATCAAAATGCAGATGCGTTGTCAGCCTTGAGGACTAAGATGGAATGCCTCGTTTCCTGTAAAAGGGGTCTCCGATTCTTTACACTCACCATACGAAACACAGCAGCGTTAAGCTGTTATTCTGTGAGAGCGTGGTCCTACTCGGTCGAGCCGACCCATTCGTGCTACAACTATACTACTAACTAATATAGCTGCAGCATGGCTCTACCACGTATACGTTTATGTAGTCTTACTTGATTACCAGCTGGCGTATTCATGGAGAGATCTATACAACATGCAACAAAAACCCTCTGGTTCCCGCTAAGTACATTATCAGAATAAGTATTCAAACGTATTGAAATAACTTTACTTCAGAAAACTCGATCATAATAAATAATAAATTTTATTTTCAAATATGTGCGTGTTTGTAAGAGGTAATAAAACCACATACAATTTGCAAATAGTCGAGTTTTCTGAAGTAAAGTTATTTATGTACGATTGAATACTGATTCTGATAACGCACTCAAAGGGAACCGCAGGGTTTTGTTACATGTTGTATAGCAGCTTAATGCTGCTGTGTTTCATGGAGTGTGGAGAACCGCAGACCCCTTTTTCTGGAAACAAATCAATCTATCTCAGTCCTTAAAGGGTAACAACGCATCTGCATTTTAGTTCTTTGTTGAGGATAGATGTAGATGGCTATGGCCACAGCATTCACTTACCATCAGGTGGAATGTGTGTTCGTTTGTCAGCCTTACTCTATACTAGCTGTACCCCGCGGTTTTACCCGCGTATATCACGTGTCTGAGACGTGCGCATAACGTGACACCTAGTTCAAGCATTTTAGATAACAATGTATGGAAAAATTGGAAAAATTAATGGTGTACTTTTATCTGCGAGCGAAGTTAAATATTATCCACTCTTCCTCCCCCTACCGGTTGAGCGTCGCTCCGTCCACTACCCCCTGCGCCCCAATAAGTGTCCCAAAGCGTTTTTCCAGTTGTAAAGAAAACCGTATACGATACATGAAAAGTGTATATATACGAAATAATTCTTGATAATTTTGCTGTAAGCCTCATACATAGAAAAGCGATATCACTTTAGTGTCCGCGTAATCTGCCACGAAATAGGTAAATTTTTTATCATTTACCGATTTTTTTGGTCAAAGTTTAGTTTTCTCAAAAAATTTCCACTTTACTACCATGCTATGTATAATTAAAGTAAAGAGTAGAATATATTCTTTACAAAGAGGTATAATTAATTTCTAAACTCTTTCATTTCACGTTCCTATGCTATTTCCTAGGCCCTTTTTACTGGAAATGAGGCATTCCATCTTAGTCCTCACGGGTGACAACGCACCTACATTTTGATTTGTAACCAGAGGATAGATGTAGATGTCTATGGGCGGCAGCAACCACTTACCATCAGGTGGACTGTGTGCTCGTTTGTCACCCTTATCCTATAAAAAAAAATTTAAAATTTAATTGATTAAATAGTCAATATATACTATTTATATAAGAGGTTAATAGCAAATTTATCAAGGATAATTTCGTACCTACACACTTTTCATGTATCGTACATAGATTTCTTTAAAACTTGAAAAAAGCCACGATTCTGGGCACTTTTAGGGGCACGGCGGGTGACGCTCACCCGGATAATATAAAAGTACTCCATTAATTTTGACAATTTTTTAGCTCAAATGATTGAACTAACTTAGGTCATAGAAGCACTCAGTGCTGATTTATCTCTGTTCTCATCGGGCTGCTAGGGTTTATGCGTCGTTCGCGCGCCAAGTCAAGTATTGAATTATTTTAATTTTACATTATCTCTTAAATTATGCGTCCAAATAACATGCTATTAAAAGCAAAGTTTATCTTCATAAAATTGTTTTGATGATGAAGTAACTTTCGTTCGTAAAGATTAATATGTCATGCTTAAAAGTAACAAAATACCTTATTGTGGCTTATGTGTAAGAAATATGCATATGGTATCACGGACTTTTTTTTTTAGATGGAGTAAAGATTTTCGTAAAATGTTTGTCTGTTGTAGAATGAATGTTTTGTAGATTGTATGATGCCGCGAAGTGAAGGCGCGACAAGTTATTCTCTCGGAAAAAAATATATTGTATGTTATATTTACGTATCTTTTCGATTTCCTTCTGGCTTGCTTAACAAACATACGAGTAGATATTTAAGGCTAGCTGAGAAGTTTGGCCTAATGCTAGATAGCCTATACTGTTCATCATGAATCTGGCTAATATACAAAAATAATTTTTCAAATCGGACTGGTAGTTCCAGAGAATAGCGTGTTTAAAAGACAAAAAACCTCTTCCACTTTATTACATTACATTAATATAGAAGATAAAAGGATCTATACCTACCTGTGGACTATAAAGTCCGTAAATATATGTTTATCATTAAATATTACAGGAATGGAGCCTCTGTTGAAACAGTACGGCGTAGATTTGGTGATTTGGGCTCACGAACATTCGTACGAGAGGCTGTGGCCCGTCTATGACGAGAAGGTTTATAATGGCTCGTTGGAGCATCCATACACTAACCCTGGGTGAGTGAATACCGGTTGCATTAGAAGTATTCTAATTTTGGTATCTTATGTATGTGATGTACTCAAACTTTTGATTATTTTTATTACCACATTTTTATTGACTCTCGTGTATGTCTGTTCGGGTGGAATTTTGTAATTAATTTTAAACTAACTTTCCGATGAGCTGGAGACTTGAAATTTTTAACATAGCTCAGAGTTGGATGACAATGCAAAACATGAAAAGCATTGTATATTATAAAAATCATATGCACATGCTTCAGTCATAACTAAAATACTTGCTTATACTTCACATTCCTAACATAAAATTTATCGTCGCATTTTAACTGTTGCTGATATTCTAATTTATTTTTATGACTTATGCCTATTTATGTGTTTTTTTTTTAATTAACAGTTTTTTTTATCAACTTATATTTACGGGTAATTAGTGAAACTTGTATGTTAGACCGATTTACATTAATTTTTGAAAATAAAAGTTATTAGAGAGACTAGACATGCATTTATTCAGCAACTTACACTTATACAGTTTTGATACAGAAAATAAAATGATACATAAAAACATCAAAGATAAAAATATATAATAGAGTGATGTGATGCTGAAAAGGGCACTGACTCAACATAATGCTATCGCACGGTTGCGGTTGCGGTAGCGTTGGGTTACAGCAACGCCCATTATGAGCAGGAATCATTACAATTTTATATCGGTTCTCTGCTTCTATGACTGACGCATCCTGGGGCCAACTTAGCAAGGGCTTTTAGTGCGTGACGATAATAAACAAGTTCGCTTCTAATATATTAATTATAAAGGTAAATGCTTTTATGTATATCTTCACAAATGCTTTATAACGTTCAGGCTTTGGGTTCAAATTGCTTCTAACTCACTTTTATAAAATATTATTCTGCCAGCACCATAGTTAACAAATTGTTGACTGGACCATTAATTGTTGATTTGGATTTTCACAAGGTGCACTTTTGACATCGTTTTTATTTCATATGTTCATTATTGTCTTTCCAAGAACCATATTGATGATTTATTTTCTCGAATTGTCAAATATACCTGCGGAATACGCGGTAACGGTACAATGTACAAAACATTGATACCAGAATCTGTCTTTTCCCTTTAAAAAAAGTCAATTATTTTATTGTATTTCTTTATATAGAACTGTTTTAAAAAAATGTGTTAACATTTTGTTAAAAATTTAAATTTTGTTAAAATGTGTTAACAAAAAATGTATAAAAATTTGTTACGTTGGTGCTGCAAAAGCTTAAGTTATGGATTTAATGTAGTTGTGATATAATTTATTGTTTGAAATAATGTTATTTTTAACAATATTAAAATATAATAAAGACAAATTGTTCAAATTTTAGTGCGCCGGTGCACATCGTTACCGGCTCAGCCGGCTGCCAGGAAAAAACTGATCCATTTAAGCGTAAGTATTTTTTCCGTATTACTAAATAATTTCATTTATTCCCCTAATTTAAGTGGGTTTCATACTAATAATTTACACATTTAGTTATTCTGTAGAATCAGGCGTTATTTCCAAAAAATCCATTATATTAAAAATATTTTAGTTACTTGTTATTATTTGTAACAAAATTCGATACATACTTAAAATTAATAGTTTATTTAAAAAGCACATTATGTAACTTATATTTCGAAACTGATATGATATCGTATAGCTTATATGTATATAGATTCAAAAAGGGGCCCCCTAGGGGTCGACTCCTCTAGTTTGGGAAACTGTTGTTAACAGTGCAACGTTGCCAGTTTCGTAAACTTACTATCGAAAAATATTTAGTTTTTTATCCATATTATTAGGCGTCTAGATGTCCATCTTACCTACCAGGGATCTTTATCTTGACGAGGCACTATGGTAAAAAACGAGACGAGGCGAGGCTTTGGTGACCGATTGAGTCAATCTTGTCGTTCAAACCTTACTAGCTCAAACTTAACTAACCATCTGGTAGACTGTGATTTCGTTTTTATTATATTTAAAGTCAAAAAAATACGTTTATCTAATGTTTACGCGCAACGGTTACGTGCCTGTTGGTTCCAAACTCGGTTCTTGGTCGGGAAAGTGTTTATATACATAAATATTTCTTAAATTCTCGGCGTATATCTAGTACTGTTAATGTTGCTAAACGCCTAAAATACACAGGGGGTCAAGATAGGGGTCAAAATATTCTAAAGAAATCTAGTAACTTAATTTCCTGCAATGTTTCGTCCTTGCAGCGAACCCGCCCGTTTGGTCCGCGTTCAGGTCCAGCGACTACGGGTACACCAGGCTGAAGGCCTACAACAAGACTCACATTTACATGGAACAGGTAGGAGGAACAGCTTATAGTTATGCGCTTAGGTTTGTTAAATTAACAAGACATCCATATGTCATACCGTTATCGTATATATTAAAAAAAGAGAGAACGCCTTGCTCATAACTTCAAAAGTAATAAACTAATGTCTAGCAGCAGAAGATTTATTTTAAATATTTTTATTGATTTATTTTATACGTGGTAGAGCCACGTCGCAGTTTTATAATAGTTGCAGCACGAATGCGTCGGCTCGAGGTAGGACCACGCTCTCACATAATGCCAACGTAAAATAGTAGCTTAATGCTGCTGTGTTTCGTATGACGAGTGTTGAGAACCGGAGATTCTTTTTATTGGAAACGAGGCAATCCATCTTAGTCCTCAGGCGTAACAACGCATTTTGATTCATAATAGAAGATATATGTAGATACCTATATGCCACTGTGTCAACCATGAAGCAAATACAAAGAGGAGACGTTCTAATTAAATTTCACTATGTAACAACGCGTGACAATTTGCGGGGTGAGGAGATGCAAAGCCCCGCCCACTTTACACTATCTACATCTACCGATAAATAGTAAAACTACTCGAATCTTTCCAAATCGATGTTGCAATGTAGCTTAGCTACCTTGAAGGTAGATGGCGGCATGTCCACAAAATGTTATAAACTATAAAAATAATATATTGGCGATTAAAATTTATTTATGTCTGAATGCAAAACAAATTTCAACACCTTCGTATGATTATTTTATCATTACTGAGCTCTACGCACCTTTATATTTTTAGTTCACATGACACAAAGTGTTGCCATCTAGTGTCGAATATATTTAATTATATTTGAAAGCCGACGCACAGAGATTTTTCTAGAACTATTTTAATAAATTAGGTGAAAAATTATTTACAAATGAAATGTGATGCCATCCATAACACCAGAGCGTCTGATCTGATCTGAGTAGTTTTTACACAATAAAACACAACACTTCATACTTTTCTTCTTAATACTACGAAAATACACCGAATTGCGATTTTTTCAACACATAAGGGCACAGGACGAATGCTGACAGTATACTAACTAAAGCCACGCCCACTATGATGACGTCAGGACCTACTTAGAATCACAGTGCACAGTTGCTTATGCCGTCTCCCCTTTGTATTAGCTTCATGGTGTCAACTTACCATCGGGTGGACAGTGTGTTCGTTTGTCACCCTTCATCATCATCATTACAGCCCTTCACAAGTCCACTGCTGAACATAGGCCTTCCCCAAAGAATGCCACAAAGCACGGTCCTGAGCCACCCGCATCCATCGACTTCCTGCATATCTTACCAGGTCGTCACTCCATCTAGTGGAGGGACGCCCTACACTTCGCCTGCCGGTACGAGGCTGCCACTCTAGAACCTTTCTTCCCCATCGGTTGTCGGTTCTTCGAGCTATATGGCCGGCCCATTGCCACTTCAGCTTACTAATCCTTTGGGCTATGTCGGTCACTCTGGTTCTACTGCGGATATCCTCATTTCTGAGTTTATCACGCAGAGAAACTCCGAGCATAGCCCTCTCCATAGCTCGCTGAGCGACCTTGAGCTTCCTCATCCGGCCAGCAGTGAAGGACCACGTCTCAGTTCCGTATGTCATCACTGGCAACATGCACTTGGTGTACAGTCTCGTTTTCAAGTTTTGATGTATACCTGACGAGAAGATGTGCCGTAATTTCCCGAACGCTGCCCAACCGAGTTGAATCCGTCGATTGACCTCTCGGTCGAAGTTGGACTTACCTAGTCTGACTATTTGTCCCAGGTAAACATACTCGTCAACAACTTCGAGCTTAGTGTTCCCAACAAATACCGGCATAGGTGTGACGTGGACATTAAACATGATCTTTGTTTTGTTTATGTTCATCTTAAGACCTATCCGTTGGGAAACACTATTGAGGTCAGTGAGCATAGTGCTTAGGTCCTCCAGCGATTCTGCCATAAGAACTATATCGTCGGCAAATCGAAGGTGAGTGATGTATTCGCCATTGATGTTGATACCGTATCCTTTCCAGTCCAGAAGCTTGAAAACATCTTCCAATGCAGCGGTAAAGAGTTTCGGGGATATGACGTCACCCTGTCTTACACCTCTCTGTAATTGGATAGGTTTCGTACTCTGGTTCTGTACTCGGATAGCCATCGTAGCCCTACTGTACAAGCACTTCAACACTTCGATATACCGACAGTCAACTTGGCATCGCTGAAGGGACTGCAGCACCGCCCAAATTTCGACGGAATCAAAGGCTTTCTCATAGTCCACATACGCCAGACATAGTGGCAAATTGTACTCTTCGGAGTTCTGTACAACTTACCGAAGGGTATGTATGTGGTCTATGGTGCTAAAGCCTTTTCGGAAACCGGCTTGTTCGGGAGGCTGGAAGTCGTCAAGTCTGCGCGCGAGACGATTCGTAATGACTCTCTAAAACAGCACGTAGACGCGGCTCAGAAGGGAAATCGGTCTGTAGTTCTTCAAGAGAGCGTTGTCGCCTTTCTTGAAGAACAAGAACCACCGCACTTCTGCTCCACGCCTCCGGTGTAATGCCACCATGGAGGATGGAATTAAAGAGCTTCTGAAGGACTTCAAGTACCGGTTTTCCACCCGCTTTCAGAAGCTCCGCTGTAATTCCATCCTCGCCTGGGGCCTTGCCGTTTTTAAGGTGCTGGAGACTAATTCTAATCTCGCTCAGACTGACGTCCGGGATATCATCGGAATAATGTCGGATAAGACTCGCTCTTGGATCGTTACTCACACTTGCGTGCGGCTCCAACGTTGACGTGTACAGCTGCCCATAGAACCTCTCAATCTCACTCAAAATCTCAGGTGCCCCGGAAACGATGCTGCCACATTCGGTCTTCAGCTTTGACAGTTTGCTCTTTCTGGCAGACAGATCTCGGGCAAAGACTTTGGAGCCTTGGTTCCGCTCGATCGCTTCTTCAATACGAGCTGTATTGAAGTTGCGTAAGTCCCGCCGCATGCACTTGGAGATTAAGGTGGCACAAGTCGCGGGCTCGAACTCGCTGGTGGGCGCGGCCAAAAAGCTCGCTGTCTCACCTGGCATCGTGCCCGACAGAGATAGTATCAGTGATGAGCATATCGACACTAGTATTCACGCACGTCATGTTCGTACGGCATTCAGAACCGTTTGAACAAAAACGAAGTTACACGTACACGATGCAACATCTATACTAATATAATAAAGCAGAAAATATAGATCTTTACTCCGTCTAAAAAAAAGTCCGCGATACCATATGTCTATTTTTTATATATAAGCCACAATTAGGCATTTTGATTTTGACAAAAAAAAATGAATATTTAGGCATGGGTTACTTATTTATCCTTACGAACGAAAGTTACTTCATTATCAAGACAATTTTTTGAAGATAAAGTTCGTTCTTTATACCATGTTTATATAGTACATAGTTTAAGAGATAATGTAAAATTAAAATAATTCAATACTTGGCCTTGACGCGCAAACAACGCATAACCCCTAGCCCGGTGCGAACTGAGAAGCCAGTATTGAAAGCTTCTATGAGCGAGGTTAGGTTAGCCGTTAGTTCAATCGGTATCTATATATACACAAATAAATAAAATTGAAGTGTCTGTTTGTAATGTCCAAATAACAGCTTTTTACTAATTGCGTATGAAACTGTATACGGTACTTATAACATTAACACAATTTTTAACATTTTTGTATGTCTGTCAGTCTGTTTGTTGCGGTTAATTTCCAAAACGGCTGGACCGACTTGGGCGGGACTTTCACTAGTAGATAGCTCATGTTATAAGAAGTAACTTAGCCTGCTTAAATTTTAGAAAAATTATTAGGTGTCTTTGCAACAATATTAACGCCCTAAACTAAACGCGGACGAAGTCGCGGGGTACAGCTAGTAGCTAAAATAAATTCAAAATTAATTGAGTACTTTTATCTATCTCCCGGGTGAGCGTAGCAATGATTAGTTACATCTTTATTTCTGAACTCTTTCATTTCACGTTGCTATGGTATTTTGAAAGTTTAAATTTAATTAATTAATAAGTAAGTATAAGAGGTTGATAGCAAATTTATCAAGAATCATTTCTTGCCTACACACTTTTCATGAATCGTGTACGTTTTTCTTTAAAACTGGAAAAAACCGCGCATAATATGCCGACAGATAAAATAAAAGTACTCCATTAATCATGACAATTTTTCCATACATTACAATCAAATAAAATATTTGATTGCAATTATAAAATGCTTGAACTAGGTGTCATGTCATGCCACGCATCTCGGACAAGTGATGACGCGGGTGAATCCACGAAATTATTAGGTATACGTCTGTGGCTCTATATACCTAATATAGATTGCTTATTTTATTATGTTTAGTTTTCCCCGAGTGGTCATGCAGCAATCACTCAAGAGTTCGGCTTCGAACGTGTGTAACTCGATAATTATCCCACGGCAACGAAATACCTGAATAAACGGTATCATATATGATATTTGGCAGCTCCGTGGCGCAGCGGCTTAGCAATGAATTGTTGTACTGGGAGCCGCGGGTTCGAATCAATCGAACAAGTATTTGTATGGTCTACAAATAATTGTTCCGGGTCTGGATGTTTGTAAACTGCCTCCACGATACAGGAGAAAATCCTAGTGTGGGGTAACGTTTTTTTGAAAAAAAAAATTCCGGACTATAGCCTATCTCTGAGCAAAATATCATCCAGATCCCTTCAGCCGTTCTGGCGTGATTGAGTAACATACATCCATTCATCCGTCCATCCAAATATCCAAACTTTCGCATTTATAATATTTAGATAATAATCGTAATTGGTCTGCCTACCTATAAATCGTTTTCAAAAATACTTACTTACCTGGCTTCTTATTTTTTTATATATACTCAATATCACTAAACGTAAACACAGGTTTTTATCAAGACAAGTGACCCATCAAGATTGTTTTCTTAGTACCGACGTACTTACCTACCTAAAGTTTACAATTTTGTGGCCACGACGCGGCGAGGTTTTGTGACATTTTGTTGTATTGTTGATTGTAGGTATCTAGGTAATAACAGTAGGTACCTATGAAAATCCCACATAATATACTTTGTTTATCCGCCGCAAAAGTCGTCTAATAAATAATTAAACTGTTTTGTAATTCTTTATTTATTTATAACACTTGCATTGAGAGCCGTGGTAGCTCAGATGGTTAGCGCTCGCCGTAAGTATCACATTACGCGAGCAACCCGGGTTCGATCCCCGTCGGCACCAATGAAATTGTTGCAATTTTATATAGTAATCGTATATAGACTTTACTTTTTTTACTTTTATAATTATATTATATTACAGACGAAAATTTTACAATATTGTCTGTCGTCCAAAACGCATCATCTCTTTCAATTATATCAATTTCCATGCCGTCTTTTGTCTTTGGCGTCCAAATTACAAAATAGCAAAACTTTTCGTTTCGAATAAAACTCGAATACTTATAAGCGCGCGTCACCGCCTGTGCATGTGTGTGTAAGCATCGTCCTCCCGCACCGCACCGGGGGAGACATTATTCAGTGAGATGCACGATAATTCATAGTAACATGCGCGCGTAAAAAAATACGAAAAGGCCTTTGGAAGAAGGGGTTTTATGAAAAAACCACTGCATTAATCAATTACAAATAAAATTTATTGAGTTCTTCGATAATTTACCTGTGTCGGTACCGACTTTGTTTTGGAAATTTTACACTTCTTTTATTACTAATTTACGCCCAAAGTTGTGTTAAAATTGGCAATAAAAACGAATCTTTGGTAGCTCGTAACTTTTTAATAACATTTTATTTTACTATTCTGTTTCCGTACAGACAAATTTAATAATGAGACAAAACGATATCATGTTTAATTTTGGATGTACACTGTCAAACAGCGGAGTAAAACCCCTCCGAAATTTCTATGGAAATAATGTCGACTAGTGTCACCTTAAGAGTGTGATCGGAGAGTTTTTGTGTTCTTCTGCGGCGGGTCTTGCAGAACTTAGCTCCGACCGCATGGACAGTTTCCACGAGCTTGTCATTCAAATCGTCCACTTCATTGCAGTCTTCTAGGCACTGAAAACGGTTTTGTAACTCGAGCTGAAAGGTTTCGGGACTTTGGATTAGAAGCACGAGGGGACGGAGCGTTGACTTCATTAGACGAGACCTCTCCAGCTTAACGTTTAGGTTCAGTGTGCCTCTAACCATTCGGTGATCGCTGCCGGTTTTCACCCTCGCGATCACTGAGTCATCACTGAACAGTTGTCGTCTGGTCGTCATAATGAAGTCAATCTCATTTTTTGTCGAACCGTCGGGGTTCGACCAGGTCCACTTCCTGTGGGGCCGCTTCTGGAAGAAAGAGTTCATCATAAAGAGTCCCTCTTTCTCCATGAAGTCGGCCAGCTGCTGGCCCCTTGGGTTCCGTTGCCCTATTCCAAATTTCCCCACTTTCAGCTCACCGTTCTCTCTTGTGCCTAGTTTTGCATTGAAGTCTCCCATTAACACCGTATATTGGGTTTTGGAGGAATGCATGGCTCTAGAGATATCCTCATACATTTCCTCCACCTCCTGATCGGGGCGTGCCGAGCTTGGTGCGTAAACCTGTATGACCTTCAGCGAATACCGTTTGGTGATTCTGAGTATAAGGTACGCAACCCTCGTCGACACACTCTCAATCTTTACAACGTTGTTAACGAGAGACTTGTGGACGATAAATCCGACACCTCCTTGAGACAGATGGTCACCCTTATCCTATAAAAAATATTATTTTTAAGATAGTTTCCTTTTTGTGCCCAATCACTATTGCTGGTTATCAACAAGTAACAGAGTAGACACTGCTATGCTCTGGTTTGAAGGATAGATAAGCCAGTATAACTACATGATGTGAGGCATTTCATATTAATCTATGGTACCAACGGATTTGTGGCCAAGTTACTTGCAGGTGTATATGGGCCACTTACCATCGGGTGAATTGCTTGTTCGTTTGTCAATAATTATATAAAAACAAAGATTAAAGGGTTGATGGGAAATGAAATGAAAAAGGTTCTTCATTGGTCAGAAAAAAACTTCAATATGAACTGATGTTCGGTAGATTTAAAACAGTGTTCCATGTATATATTCTCAGATTATTCTATTATGAGTTACATTTAGTCACATTTAGGTCGATTTCAGAATAAATCTGCAGAAATGGATTCATAGTACAATAAACTCCTTTTCCAGGTTGATGTGGACCTTAAAGGCAAGATCATCGATTCATTTTGGCTTATCAAGGATCGTCACGGAGCCTTTACGAATTTATAAAATTATGTCATTTCTGAATGTTATGTCAATTTGCAATGTAATTATGTGATTTTAGCAATTAAAGTTATTAGTATTTTTGACATGATTATAGTAAAAATATATAGGGAGGCGTGTGTCCAGCTGTTGCATAAGCTGTAACTTTACTTCCTTACTATACCAAAAATTAAGAGAATAATGTATAGTGAATAAACACTTTAAAATTTAGAATTAATAATAAACATTATCAAAGTATTGTGTGTTATAGGACCCAAATTGTATACATATATACCTACACGGTCACATATATTGCATACCCTAATACTTTGTTTCTCAAACTTCTTGGTTTGCGACCCCTAAAAACTAAAAGAAATAATTAAGTAACGGGTATGGCTCTGATTCATTCTGCCCGCAGTGTCATATTCCCAAATTTATGTGTTATTTAAAAATACGGATTCAAAGTAAAAACTTAACACCTCTTCAATATAGCGGGGAGTATTAATAAGTAGGTCACAACAAAATCAACCACCGCTAATAACTATTACAATATAATATATTTAGGCATTTGTTGTTAATAAAGTACATAATATTATGTGACACTCGATACTAGCTTGATTATTATGCGACCGCCTAATTTGAGAATGTGTATGCTCTAATGTGTTTAGCAGTTTGATTAATCGTACACGGTACTTTACATATTTTAAATGTAATTTTCTATCATTTTCTTAACTCTATTTCATTTTACATTCGATTTAAAAATAGTTAAAATGAATATCTGTTTTATTAATTAATTTTCGTAAATAAATATATTATACGATCTACAAAACGTCTTTCATTTATTCAGTTTAAAAGTGAAAAGAACCTCAAATCGTGCTCGTGCAACAGAACAGAGGTTCCCAAACTTTTAAAGTAAAGGGCACTTACCAAATCCCTTTTTGTTTTTCGAAACCCCACAAAAATTTATATAATTAGAAATATTTCTAAAGTAAAATTGCTTATTATTGGTATAGTCCCGAATGCTCGCTAACTACCTACGTACCTACACAACAGTAATGGGTAAATCTCATCACATATTCATACATCATTCCTTTCCGATCGGCTCGATTCATTGGCACTGCGAAGACATGTTGCTTCCCTTTGCATTTTCTTTCGCATTTACCACGGGAAGTGCTCTGAGGAATTGTTCGGATTAATCCCAGCCACCAAATTTCACGAACGCACATCGCGGCAGAACTCCCGATACCATTCACACCATCTGGATGATTGGCGGTCCACCACTGTGCGATTTAGAAGATGTTTTCTTCCTCGCACAACTTCCTTGTGGAATCGATTACCATCAGCGATTTTTCCGGACCGATACGACTTAGGGACCTTCAAGAAAAGAGCCTATTCCTTTTTAAAAGGCCGGCAACGCATCTGCAATTCCCCTGCTTCCCCTGGTGTTGCAGTTGTTGTTGTGCAGATGTTCAGTGGGGTTTTTTTAGGATGTAACGGTGTTTGTTGTAATAGTGATAAGAATAAAATGTGAGAGGAAAAGTGGCGAACATTTTTTTTTTCTAAATTTTATTCTCGGTGGAACGCGGATACTCCATGCGATGTTTAGGGCAGCGTTGCAAAGGTGGGTGATATTTGTGGCAGTAAAATTCTGTGCTCCCCTTTATTTCCATGGCCCATGACCAGCAGTGGAAGGAAACTGTGAGGAGAGGGTGGGATTATTTTTATTATTTGAAAAAATATTTTTGTGTGTAAAGAAAGTCATCCCAACGTCATTTTTCTACCGACTTGAAACAGGGGGAGGTACTCAAGTCGACTCTATATTTTTTTATGTGTGTTGCCTCATAACTTCCTTCTGGATGAACTGATTTCGATGATCCTTTTTTTATTTGAAAGCTGGTGCTTCACGTGTGGTCCCATACAAATTTGGTCAAGGTCTGACTAATCTGAGGGCACGGCAGTGCTCCCGCCAAGTCGAGCAAAAAAGCGGCACGGCCGTATCATCCTTTTCTCGAAGTAGTTCAGGTAATTTTCGACCCCCTATAACTTCGTTGTGGATAGAACTAGAAGCCTGAATTTTCAGTAACTAGGCAGGCATTATATGAACACAGTATATTTCAAATTTCATTCGAAAATTCAAAATCCGTAGTTGGTATTCAAGAAGTAGATGGTACCGGAAAGGACAAAAAGTAGGACTATCTACAAAAAGAAATGAGATGCCACCAAAAACATAACTTGTAAAAAAAAACTAAGTCTCGCAACTCAGTTCTTCTATCGTGAAAAGTTGTGAGATCCATGTAATACCAAATCGGTTAATTTATTCAGTCCCTACTTAAGGGTCCTTCTGTCTCAAGTTATTACGTAATTAGCTAACCTAATAACATCTTATAGTGACCATATCAATATTAAAAATCTTTTATGTTTTAAATACATAGATTGACTTGGCAATCGCACTAAATAATCTAATTTAATATAATATGTATTATTTGTGAGATACATTGTGTTTTCGTCACAGCCTGGGCTCCACAAATTGAAACAGACTGCAATTCAATTTTCTGCAGTCGTGGCACAGCGTTGAGTTGCGACGTTTAAAGAGCGCGGGTTCGAATCCCACACGAAACAAGTATGGCCTACAAGTAATTGTTCCGGGTCGGGATGTTTGTCCTTGAGCAATAACATATAAAAATTGTCCCCACAATACAGGAAAAACATCTAGTGTTAACTTGCATTTTTTAAACTAAGTTAATTATCACTGCGATAAGGTTGACTGGCAGTGAATGCTTTTAGCATTAAATTCTCCTCGTCGTCAGTCTGCACATTTTACATCTGGCGTCAAAGGGGATAATTATACCGCCATCTAGCGGGAACCGTAAGTACTTTCTGGCATTTCACCTAGTTACTTTCAAAGAGCATATAATCACTACGTCATGTTGCTTCTTAGATAATCCATGGGACGAAAGGGAGTGATGTATTGTATTATCTTTCATCCGTCTATCCATTACAGCCTATAAAAGTCCACTGATGAACATAGGGCTTCTCCATAGATTGCCTCATAGGGAGGATGTTGCTATACTTGTCACGCTTGGCGGGCAGGTTGGCAACCTCAGAATTTATTATAAAGATGCCGCTGCCCTTCACCAGTTTCGCCTTTTATAACAACCCACGAGATGCCTGCCTTGGTTGATAACACACTCTTATCAAACTGCGTAAGTGGGTGCGTCCACTGCGGGAGATAGGGTAATTATAAACAGTGAGGCAGATGCGTTTGAACAGGACTGGGAACATTACCATTGAAGAAAGTCATACAACAAGTGGTAAAGTTAAAACAATTTATACAAACGACTTCAATATAAATAAAATGAGAACATCATCAATGTAATGATTTCTTATATTTACGCGAACACTACACATTTAAATCTAGATACTAGACTTCAAGATACTGTAAGCTCATTCTGCGTAAATCGAACCAAAAAAAAATTTATATTAAAAAACTGAAGGTAGCCGGGCTAACTATGACAGCAGGACGTCAAACACCTCAGTCCCCCGTGACCACGTGTGCTGGAAAGCACCCGAAACGTCGGGAATATAAAAATAAGTTAATATACGCAATAAAATCCGTAAAATTAGTTTTATTTAAATCATCAATGTAGTCGACATTATTAAGAATAACTCAAAAACTACTGGTCAGATCTTGATTTGAATTTATATGGTACCACATGAGAAGCACCAGCTTTCAAATAAAAAAGGATCATCGAAATCAATTGATCAAAGTCTGACCAATAGTTTTTGAGTTATTCTTAATAATTTATATTGAAGTTAAAGTTGTTGTACAAAATTTTTAATTTTGAATTATTTTTTTCATATTCTTACATTGTCATCCGATTCTGATGTTCACAATGTCAAATTTCTAGCTCATCGGGAAGTTAGTTTTTAAAATAAGTTACTCCCTAACAGACATACTTAAAGGTTTAATGTATAAGACCATCATCAGACCAGTCCTATTGTATGGCAGTGAAACATGGGCCGTAACTCAAAAGAATGTGCATACCATGCAAGTTGCGGAGATGAAGATGCTGAGGTGGATGTGCGGCGTTACCAAGCGCGACAAAATCCGCAACGAGTACGTGCGAGGAAGCTTGGGCGTGCGCGACATCGCTGACAAGATGCAGGAAAGTAGGCTGCGATGGTATGGGCACGTGAAGAGGAGGCCACCCGACTACGTAGGGAACTTGGCACTACAACTCTCCATCCCAGGTCGAAGATCCAGGGGCAGACCCAAAACACGATGGAAAGATGTAGTGGTGAAGGACATGAGAGAGTGCGAAGTCTCCGAAAATGAAGTCGAGGATAGAGCGAAGTGGAGGCGTAAGACAAGAAAGGCTGACCCCACCACCATGTGGGACACATAGCCAGGAAGAGAGAGAGAGAGACTCCCTAACAGACATACACGAAAGCAAGTTAATAAAAACGTGGTAAAAAATACAAACATCGAATGTCATGACTAACAAATCATAAATTTAATTTCAGAGCCCCGGTTCATATAGTGTCGGGTTCCGCCGGCTGCCAAGAGGGAAGGGATCATTTTAGACGTGAGTTTATTCATTTTTGACTTGGAACAGACTGTATTTAAGATAGCATTAGGTGTATACCATTTGTTTTTATAAGTTTGTGTTTATAAGTGGAAGAGCTATATTGTGGTTGTAGCACGAATGGGTCGAAGACCACACACTCACAGAATAACAGCGTAAAATAGCAGATAGATGCTGCTGTGTTACGTGAGTGTGGACAACCGGAGGCCCCTTTTTTACTGGAAACGAGGCATTCCATCTTAGTCCTCAGAAATGACAAAGCATCTGCATTTTCATTTTTATTCAAGGATAGATGTAAATGTCTATGGGCTATAACATCCTCTTACCATCTCACCAGGTGAACTGTGTGCTCATTTGTCACCCTCTATAAACAAACTCATGCGATTTTTTTAAAACAAGTGACATACGAATTTACAGTACACCTGATGATATGTTCCTACT